GAAATGACCATGCAGCGATGACCCAGGGCAGCCAAGGCAATTGGCAGTCCATCCATGGCTTCTCCCAAACCACCAGTCTTCGAGAAAGGGGCAACTTCGCCAGTGACAAAGACCAGCTGATACTTCTTGGTGATGGTGGTCACTGGCTTGCCATTCACCATTTGCATTGCCGGGCGGCCTGCTGCCAAAGCACGACCCATCGCAACAGCTGGTGGACCAGCCTTTGGCACTTCTCCATTGACCGCCCCTGCAGCAGACTTGGCATATGTTCGTGCAGGGCCGACAGTGCTGGTGGCATAGGCAGAGGTTCCAGCTTGTGTTGCTGGCACAGGCTGGCCACTCACGATGTTCAGGACACTGGTGGGGGCTGCTCCCATTGTGTCCCTTGGCAAAGGTCTGCTGGACATGGCGGCCATCTTTGCCTTGGCCTTTGGCTTAGCCTGAGGTTCGGCCTTGGCTCCAACACCTTTGGCCAAAGAGGAACCAGTGGCTGAAATGCGTGCTGCAGCAGTCATTGGCTTCTTTCCTTCCTCCACGATAGCGGCAGCAGAAGTGGGTGGTGCTGGTGCCGATTTGGCCTTGGGTGCTGCAGCGGCAGTGCCTCCACTTGCGGGGCTCATGGTGTTCATACCTTTGCCACCACCTTTTCCACCAAGCGCGGAGGCCTTGCTGGCAGGTGCGGCTGCGCCTCCCTGTGGGGTGGTCGCAGCCTGCTTTTTCAACTCATTGGCCTGTGGAGCCTCATCACGAGACTTGGCCTGAGCAGACACCTCAGCAGGCTTGGCCACTGGAACCACGGCTGGGTTCTGAGAAGGAGCAGACATGCTTCCTGATCTCCAGATCTGAAAAGCGCTGCTTTGTTTGCTTGAGAGACACTAGCAGCGGCCGTGGTTGCAATGACCTTCTTCAAGCAATCCTTGATGCTCTCATTTCGCCTGAAAATTATGTTGATATCCATGTCAAGTTTCCTTAGAGTCTAGGAACCAAATCATGAGTACGAGCGCTTCTTCAAGGAAGCTTTCCCCCGCCCTCAGGAGCTTCCTTGAAGAAGCTTGAGCTATCCTGCGTCCAGTTACTAGTAGCTTCCTATTGCTAGTAGCTTACTTCTCGCTTAATTAAGTAGGCACCTACTTTATTTAGTAAGGGCGGGTTTACTTTATGATACTTAAAGAAATTTAAAGTAATCTATACCTAGAAATGTAGTTAATAGAAGTTATGGTTCTGTAATCCACTGGTCAGTAGGTGCCGAAAATGTGACTCTCACCCTTCTCCCTTCACATGGTCTCCGTGCCCACACTTCTCGGTCTCCTGGACGGTAAAGCACAGAACATGTCCCTGAGCCCTGGTGGACGAGTTTATTCATTCTTGGGCTGTACAAAGCTTCAGCTCGCTGGGAGACGTGAAGGACGCACATGTAGTCTTTTCTGTGGCTCGTGTTGTGATCGCTTCGCAGATGTTCGCAATGTAAAATTTGTGCACATCGTGCCTGCTCCACTGTAAGCTCTGGCTCCCTCAACTGTCTCTGTGAGGTTGTCAACCTGCCTTACACCCTGAAGAAGCCACTAGTAGAATGGGGCACCAAAGTAGTGGAGCCTTGCATAGTGCTGCAAAGGTACAAGATGATTCAGGAGATGAATTCTCATCTCCGAAATGACAAACATACAGCGCCTTCTCGGGATAGCTGTTAACTTCCCCAAAGCTATGAACTGATTCCATGCCAATGTGACGGAAAATTCAAGTGATGGAAAGGTGCCATTGCACCCTCGAACACACCTTTCAACTGTGAACTCCACTGTGTTTCGAGTTCATGGCAGTGTGTCACATTCCGTCGCCCGGCGACAAAGATGCCATTTCCACATTGGCGGAAACACATTAAACAAATCGTGTCATCTCAGTATGTGCCAACTGTGGGCGGAAAACAATAGCGGCGACCCAAAAGCTGCCAGGCACACACAGGCAAGCAGCAGAATGCTGTGGATGGAAATGCGATGCTGATGCATGCCGATGCAACAATCTTGGTGAACAAGCAATACTGCGACTGCGACATACAAATACTTGCTACGCCATGCGTGTCCTGTTGCCTTTGGGTGGCCACAAAATCACAGAGTGAGTTAGCAGACCTGCTTGTCTGTCTCCAAAGTCACTGTCTCGGTTCTGCCTCGGGTCAATCAGAAAGGCATGCATGTCTATGCCAGTCGTTCTGAAATGTACTGAGTATGCTCTCTGTCTGACTCTATAAAGTCTATGTGTCATGACCGCTTGCCACACCTCCAAGGACATCCTTCACGCCCAGCTCCTCAAAGATGGCCTCGTACTGCAAGGCAGCGTTGCTCCAGGTAAACTCAGCAGCGGCTGCCATGGCTGCCTGCTTCATCTTCACCACCTGTGCTCAGTTGTTTTGACGTCATGCCCTGTTTGCATTTGTGTTTTGGCACAGCATGAGCAAGTGCCTTGCTGGGCTCCTCAGTGAAGAGCTTGGCAGCACGGCGCAGTGACTTCGAGATAGCATTCACAGACTCCTGTTTGGGAACTCTCCATGGAAGCATGGGCCAACATGACAAACTCCCCTTGATCCATTTCTTGTACCCATAGTCGGCACATCAAACTGGATGTGCCGCGGTCAAATCACCTAATTGGTGCCCTTCCAAGAATCCTTTGGAGCGTTGAATGACCTTCCGGACACAACTCCAGTTTTGACCATACATGTCCCACAACAGGATCAAGGACAAATTCGGGCAATGATCAAGCAAGTCTTGCCTAGAAATGCATAAAAGCGAATGCGTAAGATTCTCTGGCGCTCCTCCTCGATCACTGCCTCAACAGTCATCTCCTTCTCTGTCCAAAGACCGTTGACACCATCCTGTGCAAAGCACTACTGTAGAGAGTAAAGAAGTTCCACTGTAAGTTTCCACCTCCACGAAATGCGGAAATTGACATACGTGTTCGTAGACTTCCTTCCTTCTTTTCTTCTGTCATCAATGCGCCTCCACCGTGTCTTTTAGGCCACCGGTTGGGGCCACAATAGGCAAGGTGCCTAGTCGCATCGCTTCCATCTGCACAAGGCCACAAGGTTCCCACCTGCCATAGCCATCCGGTGACATCGTATCCAAATATGTATATTATATACTATATAACTATATATAATATATATATATAATATATATATATATAGTCCACCGACCACATGTTTTTTCAACATCTTGATAAAGAACATCACACAGAATACAAAATGGATCCAAATGGTAGACTTACAAAGACTTATACCGATGAGTTCTGGTCTCACAAAAGAGCCTGGAAGGAAGCAAGGTATAGTCGCAGCCCGCCAGGAGGGCATAACGCTCAGGACCCATCCAGCCCGCGTAGAAGAACTTGTCGGGGAACTTCTTCTCCACTGCCTTGTCGCATGAATGTTTCTTGAAGCAATGCCTCTGTGGCCCTTCAGTATCAATATATTAATATATATATACATTAATTGATATATACTTATTGTTATACTTTTTTGATCTTTTGTTCATAGTTAACCTCACCATGCCTTGGTCTGCGCCACCAAATCAGCACGTCCGGCTCCCACAATGACGACCTGCATCTCGGTGTCCTCGCAACAAACAAAGGTGCCAAAGAACTGGAAAGCCACAAGAATCCAAGGCTCTGATGATGAGCATTACTACATTGCGGGCTTGTGCTATTCTGATGATGTGCATTCTGAATAGATACCCCACCCGATTGGAACGATCCTGTGCCAGCAGCACTGCACAAGTTTCTAAAAAAAAAGGTCCTCCAAGACTTCGACCAAAGACTCCAGCAGCAAGTCGTAACCCTTCTGCGAATCCAATCGTCCAATGAAACCTCAGTTAGACTCAATAGAGAATATTAGAGGTGTGGTAAGCTTACAAACATGTTGCTAGAATCCAGGTGAAATCAACATGGTAGACCGCGGACCTAAAACATTCTGCTCGAGGAGCACATGAGCGGGCCAGTGCAGCCAGTCAAACCATTCTGGGCACGATAGCTGGTCTTTAGCTCGGTTTTGGCGATGTCACAGTTCGTTGAGTTGAAAGGGCCGCAGGTCATCATGGTCTTTGTCACAAAGTTCCTCAAAGTCTGCATTAAAATTATGAACATATATTTGCTACAGCGGAGTCTTTAGAGGACCGTAAAACATCACCAGACCCTTTGTTGAAGAGCCGGTTTCAAGACGAAATTGTAATTTCGGGCAAGTTGCTTGTCACTGGGAGACACGCCCTCCTTCACACCGTTCAGAATGCCTGGAAAAGCGCTTCAGGCAAGCAAATTCTTGGCTTTCAAGCTATAAGAAGTCCAAGGAAGATTCCCCAACACGCTGGTTGCGCTCCTGTGCATTTGCCCAACTTGAAGAGGGACTCCAACTCGACACCCTTCTCTGGATCAGTGCAGCACTCCACTGCATAAGAGGGAGACACGGTCAAGGCGCGGTCGCAGTAGCGCAATCCAGCAGCCATGGTGTTCACACAGCTCACCTTTCCAGTTTCACAAGGACTCTCAACGACCACGAGCCAAGAAATTAAAGGACCGGATAACCCCACATATGCGTCTTTACGAGTCTTAAGCTTCTAAAGCACAAGGCAGTCAGAGTCTCAATAGCTTCTACAACACGGCCTTGTCAGGAAGTGATATCAGCTTCCGACAACAGAGGGGGGAGAGAAGGTGTAAGAGAGTGATGTGCACGACGGATGTACGAAGTATTGTGCACACAGGTGTGCGCAGCCACAACTAGCCAACAACACCAGCGGTTGTCGCACGTCCGCAATATGGGGCATAATGTACTAAAGTTGTACTACCAAGTCGCCAGTTCTCATCTTCCAGCTCCAAAACAAACAAAAAACAAGAAGCCACATGTTGACTCTCATTTGCCTTGGTAAAGCCAATCTTAAGGTCGGTTTCTTATATACGTCTTCTTACTACCTAGGACCTAGAGCTTTCGCCCAACGGTTTGAGCGCAGAATGCTCAGACTGACACAGCCATGCCTTCTCGTTGTACTTGCCAATCCGCAGAGGCATCCTACAGGAACAATGGGCACAACTCCTCTTCACATCTCTAACTCCCCTTCATTGCCTTTTCTTTCTGGCATTCTGTCATGATTTGGGAGCCAACATGATCCGCCGAGTATCTTGAAAGTGATGCTGTCAATGTAGCGCTCTGGCACACCAAAGATCTGAGCCAATCCTTCCTGTAGCGAAAAGCAAGAACAACAGCGGCTTCAAGCTCACTCCTGCATCAAGAGGATTAAGATGAGTTAAAAGTAGAGTCATCAACTTCTGTTCCCTCGCCTCGCAAACAAAGCGACCCTGAAAGACGGCGTTGTGGCAAAGGAAAGCCGTCTTGGTGTTTTGCCACTTGCCTGCAAGACACATCAAACGAAACCGATTCCAACAGTTTGTGGGAGTTGAGAACCACAAAGACAGCATGGCTTTGTTGTTTGGACAGCATGGCTGACTCAATGCTGCGCCTGTCATTGATTTCTCCGCATGGATAAGCATCGGCACCAGGGCACTGTGCCAGTCGTTGCAAACAACCATGCAGTCACTGCCGTAGATGGCACCACCCAAAGGCAACTCCTCACACAACGACAGCAATGTGTCATGCGGCTATGCCTACCAGCGCCTCAACAGAATTACTGGCGTTTGCACTACATGCATGTGGCTTCAACTTTAGTCACTGGATGGTGTACAATAACGAATTCCAGTCTTTGCTTGGCGATTCGCCGGCCTGGATTGCCTTCAGGGCTGCCTTGCAGAAGTATGCGAAGCGTGCCTGGTTGTCAGCGAAGTCCTTACCCCACTCAGGGCCGTAGAGCTTAGAGCCTGTCAAACCATTGACACGCTCCAAGAAGGTTGGGTGATCCACAAAAACATAGTCCACCTTCTGCTTGTAAGTGTGGAAAAAAGTGGACAGACTCCTGCTTGCCACCCATGGTCACAGAGCCCCAGTAGCCAGTGTCCCAGGCTTCCGAGTACTGATCGTAGCGGGGCGAAATGACCATGCAGCGATGACCCAGGGCAGCCAAGGCAATTGGCAGTCCATCCATGGCTTCTCCCAAACCACCAGTCTTCGAGAAAGGGGCAACTTCGCCAGTGACAAAGACCAGCTGATACTTCTTGGTGATGGTGGTCACTGGCTTGCCATTCACCATTTGCATTGCCGGGCGGCCTGCTGCCAAAGCACGACCCATCGCAACAGCTGGTGGACCAGCCTTTGGCACTTCTCCATTGACCGCCCCTGCAGCAGACTTGGCATATGTTCGTGCAGGGCCGACAGTGCTGGTGGCATAGGCAGAGGTTCCAGCTTGTGTTGCTGGCACAGGCTGGCCACTCACGATGTTCAGGACACTGGTGGGGGCTGCTCCCATTGTGTCCCTTGGCAAAGGTCTGCTGGACATGGCGGCCATCTTTGCCTTGGCCTTTGGCTTAGCCTGAGGTTCGGCCTTGGCTCCAACACCTTTGGCCAAAGAGGAACCAGTGGCTGAAATGCGTGCTGCAGCAGTCATTGGCTTCTTTCCTTCCTCCACGATAGCGGCAGCAGAAGTGGGTGGTGCTGGTGCCGATTTGGCCTTGGGTGCTGCAGCGGCAGTGCCTCCACTTGCGGGGCTCATGGTGTTCATACCTTTGCCACCACCTTTTCCACCAAGCGCGGAGGCCTTGCTGGCAGGTGCGGCTGCGCCTCCCTGTGGGGTGGTCGCAGCCTGCTTTTTCAACTCATTGGCCTGTGGAGCCTCATCACGAGACTTGGCCTGAGCAGACACCTCAGCAGGCTTGGCCACTGGAACCACGGCTGGGTTCTGAGAAGGAGCAGACATGCTTCCTGATCTCCAGATCTGAAAAGCGCTGCTTTGTTTGCTTGAGAGACACTAGCAGCGGCCGTGGTTGCAATGACCTTCTTCAAGCAATCCTTGATGCTCTCATTTCGCCTGAAAATTATGTTGATATCCATGTCAAGTTTCCTTAGAGTCTAGGAACCAAATCATGAGTACGAGCGCTTCTTCAAGGAAGCTTTCCCCCGCCCTCAGGAGCTTCCTTGAAGAAGCTTGAGCTATCCTGCGTCCAGTTACTAGTAGCTTCCTATTGCTAGTAGCTTACTTCTCGCTTAATTAAGTAGGCACCTACTTTATTTAGTAAGGGCGGGTTTACTTTATGATACTTAAAGAAATTTAAAGTAATCTATACCTAGAAATGTAGTTAATAGAAGTTATGGTTCTGTAATCCACTGGTCAGTAGGTGCCGAAAATGTGACTCTCACCCTTCTCCCTTCACATGGTCTCCGTGCCCACACTTCTCGGTCTCCTGGACGGTAAAGCACAGAACATGTCCCTGAGCCCTGGTGGACGAGTTTATTCATTCTTGGGCTGTACAAAGCTTCAGCTCGCTGGGAGACGTGAAGGACGCACATGTAGTCTTTTCTGTGGCTCGTGTTGTGATCGCTTCGCAGATGTTCGCAATGTAAAATTTGTGCACATCGTGCCTGCTCCACTGTAAGCTCTGGCTCCCTCAACTGTCTCTGTGAGGTTGTCAACCTGCCTTACACCCTGAAGAAGCCACTAGTAGAATGGGGCACCAAAGTAGTGGAGCCTTGCATAGTGCTGCAAAGGTACAAGATGATTCAGGAGATGAATTCTCATCTCCGAAATGACAAACATACAGCGCCTTCTCGGGATAGCTGTTAACTTCCCCAAAGCTATGAACTGATTCCATGCCAATGTGACGGAAAATTCAAGTGATGGAAAGGTGCCATTGCACCCTCGAACACACCTTTCAACTGTGAACTCCACTGTGTTTCGAGTTCATGGCAGTGTGTCACATTCCGTCGCCCGGCGACAAAGATGCCATTTCCACATTGGCGGAAACACATTAAACAAATCGTGTCATCTCAGTATGTGCCAACTGTGGGCGGAAAACAATAGCGGCGACCCAAAAGCTGCCAGGCACACACAGGCAAGCAGCAGAATGCTGTGGATGGAAATGCGATGCTGATGCATGCCGATGCAACAATCTTGGTGAACAAGCAATACTGCGACTGCGACATACAAATACTTGCTACGCCATGCGTGTCCTGTTGCCTTTGGGTGGCCACAAAATCACAGAGTGAGTTAGCAGACCTGCTTGTCTGTCTCCAAAGTCACTGTCTCGGTTCTGCCTCGGGTCAATCAGAAAGGCATGCATGTCTATGCCAGTCGTTCTGAAATGTACTGAGTATGCTCTCTGTCTGACTCTATAAAGTCTATGTGTCATGACCGCTTGCCACACCTCCAAGGACATCCTTCACGCCCAGCTCCTCAAAGATGGCCTCGTACTGCAAGGCAGCGTTGCTCCAGGTAAACTCAGCAGCGGCTGCCATGGCTGCCTGCTTCATCTTCACCACCTGTGCTCAGTTGTTTTGACGTCATGCCCTGTTTGCATTTGTGTTTTGGCACAGCATGAGCAAGTGCCTTGCTGGGCTCCTCAGTGAAGAGCTTGGCAGCACGGCGCAGTGACTTCGAGATAGCATTCACAGACTCCTGTTTGGGAACTCTCCATGGAAGCATGGGCCAACATGACAAACTCCCCTTGATCCATTTCTTGTACCCATAGTCGGCACATCAAACTGGATGTGCCGCGGTCAAATCACCTAATTGGTGCCCTTCCAAGAATCCTTTGGAGCGTTGAATGACCTTCCGGACACAACTCCAGTTTTGACCATACATGTCCCACAACAGGATCAAGGACAAATTCGGGCAATGATCAAGCAAGTCTTGCCTAGAAATGCATAAAAGCGAATGCGTAAGATTCTCTGGCGCTCCTCCTCGATCACTGCCTCAACAGTCATCTCCTTCTCTGTCCAAAGACCGTTGACACCATCCTGTGCAAAGCACTACTGTAGAGAGTAAAGAAGTTCCACTGTAAGTTTCCACCTCCACGAAATGCGGAAATTGACATACGTGTTCGTAGACTTCCTTCCTTCTTTTCTTCTGTCATCAATGCGCCTCCACCGTGTCTTTTAGGCCACCGGTTGGGGCCACAATAGGCAAGGTGCCTAGTCGCATCGCTTCCATCTGCACAAGGCCACAAGGTTCCCACCTGCCATAGCCATCCGGTGACATCGTATCCAAATATGTATATTATATACTATATAACTATATATAATATATATATATAATATATATATATA